TGACTGCAGGAGCCTTTTGACAACTAAAATGCGCTAACCAATGTGAAATATTCTGCATTGAAAAGAATTAAACAATGCAACATCTCGGAATAAATGTATATCTCTGCTATTTTTCCTGACTTCTCGACTCGTACCTTTGTCCTCCTTAATGGTGAGCATGGGCAAAGCATAGATGACCTTATAGGAGGTCAGAGGAGCACTCAGGGCACAGCCAAGGATATCCTAGATAGAGACAAAAGTGATGCAAAGCAGAACGTAGAAAAGAAGTAATACATTTAACAGAATCAACGCATAGTCATTCAACCTTGTCCCTCCAACTGTTTTTACACTGCTAATTGGCCTCATCTTAATCTTCCGTAAATGCAATCTGCTTGACTGTTTTTAAATCATATTAGATATACATATTAATAGTGTTTGGCTTATACCATTAGCTTCAATTAAGTAAAAGTCAACTGAATTAAATGAATTAGAATTTATTTGCAGATGGAAGCATGAAATACAATACAAGTTAGTACCTGTCCCAGAATTTCCATGATTACTGGCACCACTCCGTTTTCTTTGGTGAAGCCCTGGTAAGACATGTTCCTGGCAGACCTACTGGTGCAGATGAAGACGTCTCCGCTGGTTGTCTCAAAGGCAACATACTTCATGTCTGGCCTCACCCAGCAGTTGGTCTGACCGAACATAGTCTCTGGTCTCAGAGTGGCAGCCACCAGGAAGATATTTTTGCCTTTCATGCCACTGTGGGAAGGATAGCTTTAGCACTTAACTTCTGTCTCAAGATGAGGATTATGCTTAAGTGCATGTAAAACTTTATAAATACATATTCAGTGTTTGTAATTTGTTACCTGCTATAAAAGACTTTGGACTTGAATTTTGCTGTGTACGGTTCAACCATTTTCATCTTGATGAGAGTGTACTCCTGGGGTCCAACTCCCTGCAATTGAAAAAAAATGTTAGTTGGAAGTAAAATAACTAAATATAGCTCTCAGATTGCCTCATTTCAAAGTAAGTTTCTTCATCCCTAGTAGACTGCAGGAATAGGAAAAATGGTCGCTAATGGTCCTGTGAGGTAGGGTGGTAAATGTGCAGTACAATAAATGGCAATTTCAAATGTAGTGTGTGACTCAAATTTGTAACAAAATTATGCAACACGGACCCTTTTACTGTTTGCTGTAGGAGTCACAAACATCAAAATAATAACACAATCATACATAATCATATGACAATTTCCCCAAACTAATACACTATGTCATTGAGCCAGGTAGGTAAGTGTACCTCTCCTGTCTGCCTGTCATGGTCCATGCATGGCTGTCCATCCTTGGGGGAGTAGATTGTATACCTGCAGAGGAGTCAGGGACAATCACATAATATTACTGAAACAACATGCAGTGTTATAACATCAGCTTAAATTGCCTGAGACTAAAAGGCAAACTTTAACATCATTCATCTACCAAAGTTTTCATTTCAAAATGCTCACTTTGCTTTTACCCCATGGAAAGATAAGATGATAAGATAAGATGTTCCTTTATTGATCCCCCATAGGAGAAATTCAAATTTGGCACAGCAGCACAGGGAAAATGTAGTGCAAAGAGTAGAAAAAGGGGTAAAATACAATAAAATGTAATAAAAAATGTAATACAAATCTAGAATCTAAAAAAATATATACAATACACTATATACAATAAAGTGGAATATGGTCCAGATGGATAACTGGAATGGGTAACTGTTACAATGTTACAAGGTATTGTGCAAGACAGAAAAAAAAAAAGAGGAAAACCAGTTGTGCTTAGCAAGTTAATAGATAAGAAAATATGTGACATTGGTACAGGACATTGTTTCAGGCTAGACACTAATACTGATAATAATAGCAAGAAGCATAAAGTGTAAGACATGAACATATTAGATACTGTGGGGCGCTTCCTATATTGTTTACCTTTCCCTATATTACTGCAAGGTCAGTGCTACAGAACAATAAAATAAATAATAAAATAAGTGTAAAACAGTTACATAGGAACTGCCAAACCATCTCACCTTTTGCCAAACTTGATCTTTTTTCTCTCCTTCAGTGTGATGAACTGCCACCTGACGAAAGAGTCATAAAAGGGGTTCACATCTGTGGTGATGAATGAACGCCTCCAGTCCACCTGTGAATTGATAACATGACACCAGGATTTAGGCAAAATTGACTAAAATTAATAACCAGATCTCATTATCTTCTGGGACGGTGAATTCTAGGTATCAACAAAAAGAGGACAATGGGTATGTCATTGGAGTTCAGTGTATAACTCTTAACATAAATGTTGTCATAATGTATCCCCATGACACTGCAAGAACCCTCAGTGGTTCATTGTATATCATTCCTAAAATCAATGTAAATCAACGTATAGATTAACTTGTCATATTTCATTGCACAAAAGGGTCATAGGTAGAGAAAAGAGGTACAGAAACATCTCAAGACAGTTATTTGATAGAGTTTCATTATTATAATTAGTCACCTTGACTCCCATCTGTTTGAGGTCTTTCACGGCCAGAGGAGGGAAGTACTTCAGCCAGTGTTCAGCACTGGCAAACCCGACAATCTCCTTGTCATTCAGGCCCAAAGATCTCATAATGTCCCACTGGAAAGTGGAGGTTCCGGATTTCGCCACTGCTTTACTCTAACAGAGAAATGTAAAAGAAGAGACAAAAATAATGTTAATTCAAACATCCAGTGTGACTGTGACAAGTCAACTTGAGCTCTAGTTTCAAAAACATTCACTAAATGTACTATTTTTTCATTCCTATGTGGAAAATATCTGTCAATCAGTCTGATCCTGACCTTCTTGCCCTTTGCTTTGTCCTTGATGATGATTTCATCAGACGTCTCTGGCTTCTCCTTCTCCTCCTCGTCTGGAAACTGTGGAGGGTTTCCATACAGCTCCATCTCTCTCTTTAGCTTGTCTGCACAGGCCTGGTAGATGGATGGATGTATGAATACAAAGAAAGAAGGAAAAGGCAGTGTGTGTGAGGGGGCTGAAGGCATGGATTCATTCTTCAAATACTGATAAAGCAGAATGTTAATGAAAATGCAGTACTAGAATCTAATATTGTGTTTCTTGAATAAAACGTGGTAACATGGTGTCAGATCGTAGGTAAAAAAAAACAACACTAAATTTTGTTACAAGGCAATACCAACTATAATACCTAAAATCATTCTACCTCTGTATGCTATTGCATACAGGACTGATGTGATGGGCTGAAAAAGAAACAACACTAACTTTGATGGGCATTCCTGTGCAGTGCAGCCCGAATGGGAAGAGGCATTTCTTTCCTTTCAGAGACTGGTAGCCAACAGCAAACTATAAGAAAGAAGTCAAACAGCAGCAACTTAGAGAACAGACATCATTGTTGTTGAATATTTCTATCACAAGTGTCTATTATAGGTGCAGACTGAGAAAGTTCATTTCTGTCTGTTTTTGTATGAAGACTTACCTCGCACTTTGACAAGCTGAACGTGTGGCCCAGATGCAATCGGCCATTCATGTAAGGGTAGGGGAAGGTGACAAAGTACTTGTTTTTGCTGGAAGGAAAAGAAACCGGGTAATCAAAATATGTTTTGAGACCAAAATGGATTTATACACAGTATGTTTTTACAAGCAAAGTGACATGCACTGAGAAAATAACATGGGCGTGTTACCTGCGCCACACTGTCATTACTTTTTTTTCCCTCAAAAACAACAACAAGAGAAATACTACATTGCATGCCAACTATTTATAAAGAACAATGGGTGCTCATAGCTGTATCAGGAAGAGATCACTTGAAGGAAGTACACCTGCAGAAACTGCTCTGACATTCCTGAGTGCAGCAAATTATGTACATTGCTTTCTCCACAGATGGTCTTAATTGACCTATTCCTGGGTCCCATGTCTGAAAGAGAGGAACACTCTTTTGGGAATAAAACATAGGGTCTGAATATAGAAGACACTCACTTTGTGCTTTCCCCGACTGTTGTCGGTGCATCTTGCTCAAATGCCTTCTCCTTCTCCCATTTCTCCTGGATCTCGAGCTCAATCTTTCTCAAAAAGTCCAACTTTGCTGTTCCCTTCCGCTCCTGGAACACAATGACGAGCAGGTTGACGGTTCAGCAGAGAAAAGCCAGTGCAGTGATAGCTGCAAGTGAACTGATTACACATTATAACACAACAACAACAAAAAAACATACTTTAAGAATAAATACCACCTAAAATAACATAACCACACTAGAATACACGAGACCAGAATATAATAATAAAATAACAGAAATATGGTTCAACACGTGTTACACAAGAGAACAGCTGTAACCTCTGGTCCGGCTGAGTCAGATTTCTTTCAGGTCTTTTGCTGCAGACGGCTTGACAACTAACGTTAGCTTATGATAGCTAACTCAGCTAATAGCTACAGTAAGTTAATGAGGCATATATAACGTGTCCGCAGCCTCTAAACCAGCACTAACAGTTTTAAACTACACATACATTACAGCACTGGACCTACCGTCATTTTGATCCAAACTACGAGCTATTAACTACTCTGCTGTTCAGACAGACGAAACAGAAGAAGAAATAGTTTCCACTTTGACAAGGGAAACCCACGCCACCGAGTAGCACCGGTGCCTGGCTGATGACACCCACAATCAGCTTCCCGCAAGGCTTTCTGGGAAATGTAGTCCGTGTAACTTTTTTTTTTTTTTTTAGCCGTCCTGCCTTTAAATATCTCACGAACCAGACCCGTTATTCGTCTATTAAGTATTTGGTTCACCATATATATTTAATACACCACCGCGGGGGCCGCTAATATGAATTTAATGTGTCGCAGTTGAATAAAGACACAGCCGTCCGTCGTCCAGCCCCGTGTTACGACAACTCAACTTGTGTTGCCATGCCGTAAAGCGCTTTGTGCGACCTGCCAGTGAAGAGAGAGAGAGAGAGAG